CCATCATGTAGAAAGATGTTCCACAGGATCTGGTCAGAGTAAACACTTTATCTTTGTATACATTTTAAACGATTTTGGTGAAATACGACATTCAGCTCAGATTTGGTGAATTTTGTTGGTTAAACTGCACTTCCTACGTGGTTAGTTCACGGCCATGTGAAACGTAGGAAAACGTATTCTTTCTGTTTTTGCTGAAGTTATTTTAGCGGCTGTTCCTCCCGTTCATCACATTTCACTGTCTGCCTCTAAACTATCATCCAAAGAAGAAAATCCTAGAAGTTTGTTGTTGAATGATGAACGTTTATCAGGAAGGTTTTTGGTTGGAACACAAAGCTGCTGTCAGCACCACTTCCTCATTTTAACAACAAAATTAAGCTTTTTGTTCAAATGAGACATTTTACACTGAAAAGTTTCTCGATTTGATAAAATGACTTTTGTTGTATCAAGAAAGTTTCTACTTTAACCAAAAGTTCAAATATTTCTCATTTACCAAGAACGTTTGGTCATTTTGACATCGATGTTCTCACTGAAGTTTCTTTCTGATTTTACAGTTTCTGGCTCATTAATTCAGTCATTTTGATGATTTTTTTAGAAGCTCAACTAATTCAACTCTGATTCTAAATATTTAAACGTTGATTTCTTCTTGATCTGAGCTGTGGTTCATGGTTATTAAAGTGCTTTTGTTCTGTTTCCACAGTAACATGAATCACCAGCAGCAGGAGCCAGAAGGAGGGTTTCTGTTTGTTTGTCAAAGGTTCTCCTGACGTTACAGAACTGTTCTGACCCGCCAGTCCTCAAACGAACAAACACTGCATCCTCACACTTCAGGGAATCCCCCTCTGACAAACACACTCCCAGTCTGGACATTAGCAGCCGGCTCCGGTTTCACCAGATCCTCCGATAGAACCTGCAGAACAATCAGAGCAGAACAATGCAGCCTCACCTGGAACCAGATCCACCGCAGGCCCAGTCCACATCATTCTCCTGTCCAGAACTGGGTCGCACCTGGACTCAGACAGGTGTCAGAGAGCACGGCTGGAGGACAAGCACCGAACTCACCAGTACCAGAATAAATATGAGTCTGAGTTACCTGCCGGCACCATCAGCTCACCTGTGCTGGTGTGGTAACTGCCATTTAACATTATTTCAAATTTAAAATAAAAAATAACCTGAATTTAGGTTCACCTGTGGTTACCTGTATGTCCCCACATACCTGTGAGCCAATCAGAGAGCAGGATGATGATTGGATACCTGAGGTTTAATTACTTTTATAAGTAAAAGTGTGTGTGTGTGCGCGTGTGTGTGTGTGTGTGTGTGTGTGTAGGCGACATACACAGCTTCACTGTATCTGTGAGGACCACCAGCATCAGCTCAGCTGTTTTTAACCCTCTGAACTTCATGGTTCTTCACTGAGGTTCATGTTTCTCTGCAGCATAAAGTCCTGCAGCTCTGTGGAACCAGAACAACATGAAGGAGGAGAGAGAACTCAGAGATGCCTTCTGTGTGTGATGAAAAAGCAGGTAAAAGCAGGTGACCCCCTGGAGATCCCCTCACTGCCTCTCAGGGATAATGGAGGCCGTGGGGGTATGTCGGGGCAGTAAAGGGGGTTTCTGGAGGGTTTCTGTGGTATTTGGGTATCAAAGCCTCCTCTGTGTGCAGACGTCTCTGGCTGTAAGAGGAGAGCAGCTCTACGGCTGAAGAAGCTTTTTAAAGCTGCGCTGCTTCATTCAGCCGCCGCTGCTGCTTTGAAACCCTGTAAGGTCAGATTTACATGTTTATAGAGCCTCCGTCCATTAATCTGTCCGTCCTGCCTTTCATCCGTCCATCCGTCTGTCCCAGGACGTCCCACAGGAGGACGGATGGACCTGAGACTGAGGACCGACCCTCAGGACAAACAGCTACACCTGAAACAACCCCTGTGATCAAACTGGGAGAGACTGACTGGAAACACTGGTCCAAGTGACTACATGCATACCAGTAGATGCTATGCTGCAAAAATAACATTTCAGTTTTTACCTGCATTTAA